TTTTTTTTTTTTTTTTTTTTGGTTGTAATATTCCTTTTTCTCTCTCTTATTTGGTTTGTAATAATTTATTCAAAGTGTTGTAATAATTCCCTGCCTTGGTTTCTTTCTATCTCGTTCTTTTAGTGAAACATAAATAGTTAATGCATCTATAAGAAGGAGTGATTTAATCCACATTGATGTTGCTAAAAAAAATATATAGGCAGTGAGGTTATGAGATGAAGACATGATTAATCTAAACTTAACTGAGATGACTGACTTCAAACAGATGCAAGTTAATTAATTATATGTACCGTATCAAGCCATTTTTTAAACCATTCTATAGCTGAATTCTGAAGACGTTAGATGTTCAAATCCTGATCTTTAATTAATTTTTTTGCCCTTGTGTGGAACAAGAAAACTTCCCAAGCAAAACCATTTGAAGTTTAGAGTTTTCTTTTGTGTTAGGCAAGATTGATATTAGTTTCTCTAGTTTTTTTTTTTTGGAACCTCATTGGCATGGGCCATCATAACGATAGCAAATTCAGTGATCAGATCAGAGGCCCACACTGGGCTTGAGGTCAGTCCTAATTGAGAGCCATTGATTGGCAGATTACATGCTCATGTAGATAAACAAGGGTAACATGCATTAAAATCATGTACTTACTAATACCCCGAGGAGCAAATACTTTAAATGACGCCTCAACCGCTTCTTTGTAGTTGTCTTTATCCATTGCTCTCATCCTGGCTCTTATCAGTTCCTAAGATGTTCAACATCCCAATCAAACCACCGTAGCATACAACAATAAAACAAAAAGGATAAGATGAAATATGGGACTAAATGTGCAAACCTTGAACTCCTTTTTCTCTTCCCTGGTTGATGAAAGGCTTCCACCATGAGTTTTGGCCCACTCATTTGCCACTTTCGAAAGAATGATAACATATGGTGTGTGTTTATGGACAACAGAATCAGCCACATTCACGTCAATTGTTTCTGCAAAGCTATCATTGATAAACATGCAATCAGCTTCTCACTTAAAATGTAAACTGCTTGGGTACATGGTAAAAAATAAAATCCATTAGCTTTTACAATTCAGTAATTGATGTGCCAAATAAAACACACAGAAAAGCCAAACCCAGAGAGAGAGAGAGAGGGTTCTTAAGACCCATACCTTCTCAGCTCAGGCCATGGGCTATTTAGCAAGAGATCATCTAGAAAATGATCAGGCTTTGACTCGATCACTGTATGCTCCTGCCTCACAGAAGCAAAGTAATATTAGCACCTCCATTCTAGAGAAATTACAAATCTGTAATTGAGTTTTTGGACACTCCGTTTCGATTACATTATGAGAAGAAAAAAATGTGTGAATTGTGACAATCTCTCCGGATAAGCCACCATGTATTTCTCCAAATCAAGGTCCAAATATTCAAAATGGATATACCATTCATTTTTTATATTGCTTCATACATCCAGCAGCCTGTTAACCTAGCTTCTGTTAAGAAAGTATATAATCAAATATATAAAGTAAAAACCAAAGACATTGATCAGATTTTTAATGGGTTTTTTTTTTTTTAATCAGAACTCTAAAGAAATAACTTACTTGACAATGTTTATGCGATCCATCTCTGTCAGCATAAATATTTCTAGGATTGTTATATATGGGACACCATTTTTGCAGTAAAAAAAAAGTATGCAGTCTCTTTATTGCTATAATTTATTAGTCTCAAGATTAAGACCTTTGTGAACAATACCGTAGGCGCTGAGTCCAATAACCTTTACCTAGCTTATACTGCCTGACACGATCCGAACCCGCCCCTATGGGTTAAGGACGTAACCGACCAGTAATCCCGAGATTACCTACGGCCTCAAACCAAAATAGACATAACTCAACAGAGTAAAGGGGCCAAATGGAAGCAATAATAAAAAATTTTGTCCATAGAGCCGTGCTTATATGCACTTCAAAACAAACCAAACTCATATACGTTAATAACCCACGTCAAAAGTACAGTACCATAAAATTCTTTACAGACAGAATCATCTAACTAAGTCAACCCATGACAGACTACTTACAAATATACATAAAGTCCCTGCCAGCAAGACAAAATATAGTTACATAACAAAATGGCAAGGATAGGTCTCGTGCGTGAGACACAAGGTTGACTTTCTCAAAACTCATGTTGTTCCTAGCAGACTTCACTGGGGCTGGGTTTGGAGTTCCCTCAGCTCACCTACAAACACATGAATGAGCGTGAGCGATAGCCCAGTGAATAATATTAAATACAGAAGACATATAAACAATATGTAGGACAACATACTCCAAATGGTCTTGGGCCCAATTCATATTCCTACTTAACATATGTACATTTATACAAGGTTTAGATCAAGTGACTATAGTTCCAAACATACTGGCCTTTGGCCCATTCATTTATGTCAAAATGGCCTTCGGCCCATCCATTTATGTCATAACGGCCTTCGGCCCATATATTTGTGGCAAAACGGCCTTCGGCCCACTCATTCATGTCAAAACGACCTTTGGTCCATCCATATATGTCAAAACGGCCTTCGGTCCGTTCATGTACATCAAAACGACCTTCGATCCATTCATTTCTATCAAAACGACCTCCGGTCCATTCATTACTATCAAAACAACCTTTGGTCCATTCATCTCTGTCAAAACGACCCCTGGTCCATTCATTTCTATCAAAACAACCTTAGGTCCAATTATTTTCATGTCAGACTTTTGTCCACAATCCCAATCAGCAAATCATAAAGCTTATAAGGGAATAAACAATTGGACATTCACAATTATTCGAATATCGATATTACTCACAGTGATCGGCTTGTGTATTTGCCCTAGAGCTTGACCCTACACATTTCATGAACACAAAAGGGTCATTAATAATCCAATCCGTTCCTTAATTCACATATTCTTCTTTAGGCCTATTCTTATCTCATTAACTCATTTACCATGCTTAACATATGCCTAAGAGTGCTTACAAGTGAAAGAGAACGGAAAACGAAACACAGAACGAGCATACAAAATTTCAGAGAACAGGGTCCCCGTTCGAGCGCCAACTTCCCCGCTCGAGCGGACCCTTAAGGCCTGTAAAAGTACTGGTTGCATGAAAAATACGCTCGAGTGTGGAATAGAGAGCTCGAGCGGAAGGCCTGTCTACAAAAACTCCCCGCTCGAGCGTGAGATATCCCGCTCGAGCGGACATCCAACTCTGCATAAAAGTGCTGGGAGCACAATTTTCCCGCTCGAGCGGACATAAAAAATCTGGGTTTTCCAGATTGAGTTCTTGAGCTCCAATTCGAATTTCAACCAACAAAACATGCATGTTATGGCTCAAATCTCAAATATAGTTATGCTAACATGCCATAGACACCAAAACACATTACAATGGAGCCCAATTCACAATTAATTCATATGCATGCCCCAATCTCCCATCAACTCATTCTAATACAAACAAAATCATACATTCAAAGCTCATATCTTAATTATTCAAACATGCATGCTAACCTTGATTTCATTTCCATCCCAAACAATGCAGATGGTGTTCATTCTCATGGAATACAACAAAAGCATGCTTGCATGTAAGATTTAACACCTTTATTTCCATGTTCAACTCAATACATGCTAGATTATGCATTTCCACAACAATCATATACATGCATGCCTTCATTGACCTTCAATTGAACACAAGCAACTCAATTCCCTTACATTCAAACTAATTCATGCTCTTGACCATCTATTAAACTTGAATTCACAAGATGATGACTATAAATGCATGAATCACTCACCAAGGAGCTTTAATCTTCCCAATTTGGCAATACTTGAGCTTAATCTCCAAAAGGTCCAAGTCTTGAACCACAAATACAATATTCTCTCCTCTCTCTCTCTAACAGCCGGCTCTCTCTCCCTTTCTCAAGTTTTGATTAGCCAAAATGAGGTCATAGGAGAGAATGGGATGTGTAGTCCTCAAATACAACAAACCCCACTAGCTACAATTAAAAATATTAACAATTTGAGCACAATGCCATTAAATAAATCAATTTAATCTGACCCGAATCAATTTTCAATTAAATTTCTCCGTAGACTCTAAAAATTATGCCAATCACAATGGCGTAATCAATTTCGGGTTCCGTGGCCGATAAGGCCTTTAATTTAATTTCCAAAACAGATTATTCAGACAAATATTCCTACGGTGAACAGATAAGACTTCAAAATCACAAATATTCACATAATGGCACATAAAATCATGCTAAACACATAATCATACTCAAATTAAGGACCAATTAGCATACTACGGAACAGGGGTATCACAGTCTTCCCTCCTTTAGGAAGTTTGGTCCTCCAAACTTAATTTACCTTCGTCGGGAAACAAATGTGGATAGCATAGATGCATTTCCTCCTCTTTTTCCCATGTAGCATCTGTCCCATAGTGTTCCTTTCATTCCACTTTCACCATTGGAATGGATTTGTTTCTCAATTCTTTCACTTGTCGGTCAACAATTCTTTCTGGCCATTCAGCATATTCCATATTTTCATCAATAGCAACCCGATAATAATCAATCACATGTAATGGGTCTCGGAGGTAACCCCTCAACATTGACACATGAAACACATTATGGATTTGCTCGAATCCCGGTGGCAAGGCAACTCTATAAGCAACTGGACCGAGTCTCTCCAAAATCTGGAACGACCCAATTTAATGGGGCGACAACTTGCATTTTTTCCCAAATCTGACTTGGCCTTTCATCGGAGGAACACGGATGAACACATGGTCACCAACCTCATACTCAAGAGGTCTTCTCCGAACGTCTGCATAATTCTTTTGTCGGTCCTGAGCTGTTTTGAGCCTTTGACGAATAGTCTTGATTTTCTCAGATGTGTCTTGCACAATTTCTGGCCCAAGCAAAGCTCTATCCCCGACCTCTGTCCAACAGATAGGTGATCTACACCTCCTACCATACAAAGCCTCGTATGGTGCCATACCGATGCTGGAGTGGAAGCTGTTATTATAAGCAAATTCTGCAAGTGACAAATAATCTTCCCATCTCCCCTAAAAATCCAAAGCACACATGCGAAGCATATCTTCCAATGTTCTGACTGCCCATCTGTCTATGGGTGGAATGCAGTACTAAACCTTAGTTCTGTTCCCATAGCTTCCTGCAAACTCTTCCACAATCTATATACAAATTTCGGATCTCTATCCGACACAATAGATACCGGAACTCCGTGTAAACGGACAATTTCATCAACATAAATAGTAGCCAATCTATAAGAATTAAATGTAGTTTTGACAGGCAAAAAATGTACAGATTTAGTCAGTCTATCAACTATAACCCAAACAGAATCCATACCTCGAGAAGTCCGAGGTAGGCCAACAACGAAGTCCATAGTCACATGTTCTCACTTCTATTCAGGAATAGGGAGAGGTTGAAATAGACTGCCTGGTTTCTGATGTTCAGCCTTAACTTGCTGACGCTGAAGGCACTTGGACACATGTTCTGCAATCTCTTTCTTCATTTTAGGCCACCAATAGGTTTGTTTCAAATCCCGATACATTTTATTGTTACCCGGATGCATAGCAAATGCGGACCTGTGGGCTTCATCTAAAACCCTCTTCTTTAGCTCAGGGATATCTGGACACATATTCGATTCTGGAATTTCAACACTTCATTCTCAATGCTAAATTCTGCTTTTGGACTTGTCTCAAATTCATCAATTACCTTTCTGAGGAACTCATCCCCTTTCTGTTTCTGCTTGATTTCATCAACAATTGACGGCTCGGCTGTAATAACGGCTATCAATCTGCCCTGTTCACATACTACCACTTCAATTTCAGACCTTTCCAAGTCTTGCAAAATCTCCCTTTGTTCAGTAAGCAAACAAGCCATACTCCCCATTGATTTTCTACTCAAGGCGTCAGCAACTGTATTAGCTTTTCCGGGGTGGTACTGAATTTCTAGGTCGTAATCTTTTATTAGTTCTAGCCACCTTCTCTGACGCATATTCAACTCTTTCTGCGTGAAAAAGTATTTCAGGCTCTTATGATCCGTGTAGACTTCACATTTTGCCCCATACAAATAATGCCGCCAGATTTTCAAAGCAAAAACGACTGCAGCCAATTCAAGGTCATGTGTTAGGTAGTTCTTCTCGTGTGGCCTCAACTGCCTGGAGGTGTAAGCAATAACTTTTCCGTTCTGCATTAATACACAACCCAAACCCTTATAAGATGCATCACTAAAGATTACGAAATTTTTCGTACCTGAAGGTAATGTCAAAATTGGTGCAGTAGTCA